CTTTTATTTTGTCCATTTTAGTCCAAAAATTAAAAAATGTTTCAATTTGGTTTATCCTTTTTTAAGTTTCCCTATTAAGACTTAAACATAAAGATAATAAATAAGTTGAATTAAAAACCTCAATGTTAAAGTATGCAACCGTGTTTGAACGGAGGATTGTAAGGTGCGCGTATGCCCTTCCTCATTCCTAACCGAACTTCCGAACCCCGATCTCTGCGCGGACCCGTTTTAGGTGACTTGTCCCACCTTATAATTTGGATGAGTGGCGACTCCCCTTTCTTTTTATATTTCACACTTGATAAATGATAAAATAAAAGTTTCATTTATTTTGAAGTGGTCGTCAACAATGGGATTTTGTACAATATTAAGGTCATGGAAAAGGACTTTACAAACAACCTGTTCTCCATGAAATTAGGTCACACTTTCACACTATAAAGTGGGACGAATGATGATGAGAGTGAAATGTGGTCTTTGAATTCAGATGCAAAAAAAGATCTCCATGGCTTCAAAAAGTTAGATTGTTTCTTGGAAGATGCACACTAATGTGGTCTTTGAATTCAGATGCAAAAAAAGATCTCCATGGCTTCAAAAAGTTAGATTGTTTCTTGGAAGATGCACACTGACAGGATGGAGATGATGATGTGAAGTGCAGTGGTGCTAGGGAAGAGGAAGGCTCATCAGTTCAAATTTTAAAATTTGACGTTATGATGGAAGAGAGCAAGCAACACATTGAAGAAGGCAATAAGGTGGCGGCTGCCAATATCTAAGGAAAAGCCTTCGAAGATATGTTAGAAATTATTAAAGAGAGTTAGTTGTTTAGATCTACCTAGAGCCTTAGCACTTAATTGCACTACTTCACCTAAAGAAAGTAGGCCTGGTGACAATTTTGAAGAAAGTAGTCTTGATGACAATATTGAAGAAAAATTGGGCCTTTCTATGGAAACCAATAAAGAAATAAACAATGTGCTTAGGCCTTATGCTAATTCAGCCCAAACATTCACATGTGAGAGGAGCAAATAATCTGTTAAGGAATCACTCTGCGAAATAGAGCTAGACAGTAAATTGGAAGTAAAATCCTTTTGGGAAAGCTTCAAAAGTGAGACAGGATGCTAGGAGGAGTAGATGCACAGGAAACAAAGAAATACCTCTAAGCAAGCCAAAAAGGAAAGGAGAAGAGCTAGATCTTGTGTTGCTATTTATATGGATGTAAACGCAACTAAAGCAATAGATTTTCATTCAACGTGAGGAAGTCAAAATCACCCAAAGCAAATTCAAGCTAGGGCAATTCCCACTTTCCTTCCTCACCTAGATATCTCACAATACCAGGAGGCTTGGTAAATGATAGTGGAATTATTAACTGCAACAAAAATTTGAAGGGATAGAGCATGAAAACTCAAGGAGAGGAAATTTGGGATTTTGCAAAAAAATTGGTGCAATGGCAAATTCAGATGAAGTGAAGGTGATAAGGAGAATTGATCAAATGGAAGTAAGGGACAACAAGAAGATGCAAGAAAAGAAGGAGAAGTTTGCAACTATGGATCGAGTATGCTTTATTTTCCCCAAATGATTTTGCTCTTAAGGAATATTAGAGGGGTTGGTGGAATAGGAAAGAAGAGGGAGATTAGGAATTTGATTTTTAAAGAAAAAGTTGAATTTCTAGCATTACAAGAATCAAAGCTAGAGGTTGTTGAAAAAAGTACTTGCACATCTTTATGGGGCATGGATAATTAAGATTGGGTTGCAAAGGCCTCAAATGGTAAATTTGGTGGTTTGGTTTGTATCTGGGATATGGTTGTGTTCACTAAAAGTAGAGTCATAATGGGAGACCATTGCTTAGGGGTCTACAGTTTTTTGGGGCCAGATAAAATCCCAATTTATATCATTAATGTTTATTCACCATGTGAGTTGGCTAGAAAAAGAACTCTTTGAAATGATCTTCTACAATTCGAAAATGCAAACAAGGGAAATTGGTGTATCTTGGGAGACTTTAATGTTGTAAAAAACTCTCATGAGCGAAAGGGTGGTACTGGTGACCCCACTGTTATGAGAGAGTTCTGTGACTTCATTAGAAATACAAAACTTGTGGACTTACCACTCCAAGGAAGAAAATATACATGGTATAGACCCAATGGAGAATCAATGAGCCGATTGGATAAAGGCCTTTTCTCAAAAGGCTGGCTACGTGTATAGCCTAAGATGAAGTAATTGGGTTGTCCACGCTCTTGCTCTGATCACTGCCTAAGTTTATTGAAACATCAAAGTATAGATTGAGGGTTGAAGCCTTTCAAGTTTTATGATGCTTGGTTGGAAATCCTTGGAGTTAGAGACATGATAGCAGAAGTTTGTATTTCTTAGTTCTTACAAAGTGAGAGGGGCAAAGAGCTTCTGCTTGAAGGAGAAGATGAAGGCCACCAAAAAAGCTTGGAAGGAATGGAGTAAAGGCTTTACCATTAATGTTGATAGTAAAATTGGAAGCTGTAAAGAAGAAATTGAGAAAATTGATATCAAAAGTGAAGGACAACAACTATCAAAAACATAAATTGTCAAAAGGGAGGAATGTTTCTTGGAGTTGTGGGATAATTTGAAGATAAAAGAAAGAATGTGGAGGCACAAATCAAGGAAAATGTGGCCCAAGGAAAGGGATAACAACACAGCTTTTTTCCATAGATGTGTAAAAGGAAGACACAGAAGGAATGAAATCAGTTGTATTCAGGTGAATGGTAAGTAGCTTACTAAAGTCAAGGAAGTAAGAGAGAACATCGTTGTATTTTTTGAAACTCTTTTTACAGAAGATAATTAGGCAAGGTCGACACCTAATGGTATTCCTTTCATGCAACTTTCATCAGTAGAATAGGCCTTTTTAATTGTAGAATTCCAAGAGGAGGAAATCAAAAGGCAATATGGGATTATGGCAGTACAAAGGCATCGAGCCTTGACGGTTTTACTCTAGGTTTTTTTAATGAATTCTAGAGTGTGATAAAGGATGATGTTGTTGGGTGTGTGAATGAATTCCACAAATTAGGAAAGTTGTCAAGGGGATGTAATGCATGTTTTGTTACCTTAATACCTAAATTTCCTAGTCCCTAGAAAATTGAAGAATTTCGACCCATTTCTCTCATTGGATCTATCCATAAAATCATAACCAAAGTCACAGCTAATAGGCTTTGTCAAGTGATCAGAAGTACAGTTGAGAGCTAGCAAACAGCCTTTATAAAGGGTAGATTACTTATTGATGGAGTTTTGGTGGCAAATGAAGCTATAGATGCAACAAAAAGAAGAGGTTATGGCAGCTTTTTTGTCAAAATTGATTTCGAAAAGGCTTTCAACAATGTTAGGTGGGGCTTCTTAATCTACATGATGAGAAGAATGAGCTTGGGTGACACCTGGTGCAAATGGATTATGGAATGCTTATCTTCAAGCATTATATCAATCTTTATTAATGGGAGTCCTTCAAGGCAATTTCTATATCTAAAGGACTTAGATAGGGGGATCCATTATCACCATTCCTTTTCCTTATTATTACAGAGGGTTTAAATGGATTAATATCTATGGCAGTAGAGGAGAGCCTGTTTACTGGAGTCAAGGTTGGTGAGGGAGGTCTTACATTAACACATTTGCAATTTGCTAATGACACTCTTCTCTTTGGCAAAGCAACAAATGGCAATGTTTGGGCTGTGAAGTGCATTTTAAGAACTTTTGAGTTGGTATCAGGCCTCAAAATCAATTATGGAAAAAGTCAAATCATGGGCGTCCATAACAATGATGCATGGCTCACTAAGATGACTTGGATATTAAATTGCAAAACTGGGACTATGCCATTCAAAAATTTGGGAATCCCAGTGGGTGATAGTTTAAGAAAGTTATCCTTTTGGAGTAAATTGGTGGAATCCTTCAAGAAAAAGCTGTCATTATGGAAAGGTTGCCTTCTCTCTTTTGGTGGGCAGGTCACACTCCTTGACTCTGTGTTGTCTAACATGCCGGTCTTCCTTATGTCTTTTTATTTGCTTCCAAAAGGTATCATTCACACCCTTGATAATATTAGGAGAAGCTTTTTATGGGTTGGGCGTGAGGAAAAGAGAGGTATTAATTGGATTAGTTGGGAAAAAGTTTGCTCAAGTAAAAAAAATGGAAGGTTAGGTATAAGAAACCTCAAATTTTTTAATTTAGCACTCCTTGGGAAATGGTGGGGTAGGATTGCTACTAGAGATAATGGGTTGTGGAGTAAGGTGCTAGCAAGTAGATATGGGGAGTTTGGATGCAACTGGGTAAATTGGATGAGGGAGAAAAAAAAAAGAGGGATCTATTTGGTGAAGGGATATTTTCAATTTAAGAAACAAAAGTGAGGCAAATAAGGATTGGTTAGTGGAGGGGTTCAAGCTAAAACTGAGTGAAGGAAATGGAGTCAGGTTTTGGCTTGATCATTGGTTTGGATTAGGAATCTTGGCTAATCTTTTTCCTAGACTGTTCTATTATCAAGAGGTAAGGATAATAATGTCAAAGAAATGGGTTATTGGCATGATGATACTTGGCAATGGTCCTTGCATTGGAGGAGGCCTCTATTAGATCGTGAAGTTGCATAAGTGGATTCATTACTTTCTTTACTCCAGCAAGTAACCTTGCAGCAAGGAAAAAATGATGAGTGGAAGTGGCAATTTAGTTCTGATGGAAGATATGAGGTTAGATTGAGCTATAATCATTTGCTAAATTCAAGCTATATTCCAACAACCAATACTTATAAGCAAGTATGGCAGAAGGGCATTCTAAGCAAGGTTGGGGCCTTTACACGGAGGCTAATCCAAGATTGGATACCAACCAAGTTAAATCTTTTCCAAAGAGGTATTATAACTGACCCTAATGCCTTACTTTGTGTTTTTGGATGTGGCAATTTGGAAGATACAAACCACCTATTTTTACACTATAAAATTGCTCATGATTTATGGTCAAAATGCCTCAAATGGTGGAGAATTTCTGGTGTTATGGTTGATACATGTTGGAAGGCTTTTGAGCAACATGGTGATTTATGTAAGTTTGCTAGACAAAGGCGTGGATGGGAATTAATATGGTTTGTTGTCACATGGACTTTATGGCTTGCTAGAAATGATACCTTGTTAAAAAATGCTCATCCAAATATTGAAAAGCTATTTGATTTAATTCAAGCTCGTTCCTACCAATGGTTGTGGGCAGCTGAGGAGTGTGGGGGTATTTCTTTCATTGATTGGATGCGTGAGTCGGCATCTTGCATGATGTATGGGCTGAACAAGAAGGATTGTGGAGGACACAAGGATTAATTTTATGCTGAAAGCTTTTTGTACATGTAACTAATGTAGATAGGTTGGGATACCCCTAGTACTCCTTAATAAAATTATTTATTGCTGTTAAAAAAAAAACTTAGAATTGCTGGTTCAAAGCATTAGTCTACCAAGCAATTCTGACTAATTTTCCAACACATGTTCACTAAGTGAAGGTTCAAATTGCAAGATACCTTCACGGTATGCATAAGATTTCCAAAACAATTAATGGGTTGTTCTATTTTGAAAATGGTGGGGAAATGTTGGAGAAATTTTCAAAATAGATGAAAGAAGACAATGGTTGGGAAAAGGCATAAATGAAAAGGTGTCCTTTCATGTTAAAACTCTTCAAATAGAAGAGACATGCTTGTCAAGAGGTGTCTTTTATCAACAAACACCTATAGCGTATAAAAAGCCTTGTCTTCATCCTCTTAAAAGAGAGACTCTTATCTATAGAAACATAGACTCTTAATGGAGAGTAAAGAGTGATTCCAATATGGGTAATGCGTACAACATCTTGCTATTTTCAATACAAAATAGTCCTTTTTTGTGCAATGATTGCTGCTAAAATTCTTGTATGAAAGTGGGAGTTTTGCCGCTTGAAGAGGTGAGAGTCAGTGGTTGGTTTTGTCAGTGCAGGGTGTAATCAATAGGGCTTCATTATATCCTATAGTCATTTTTGGTTAACCCCTTTTGCATACCGAAATGGTGGGGGCAAAAATAGCCTAAAAGAAAGTGGCATTTGTAGCATGCCTTGAAGCCAATGATTTATTTTCGAACACCCAATTTCCAATATACTTTGCTATATTTCCATAACCCATAGGATACGCACTTCCCATCAATTTCTCCAACAGCTCCAATGGGACCTATACATGCTTTTTCCACACGCCTACATGAATTTCTTCATTCTTTCGTCCAACTTCTTCCATGGACTCTAGTTCATGTATATGGAAAGGTTCTTCTTGTTTTGAGGTTATGAAATTAGTGAATGGTAACGGTCTTCTCCAATGATCTGTAATAGAAATCTCTTCTGGACACGCAAAATTATTCAATCTGATTTGCTTTAGTAACAAGAAAAAAAGCATATGCAAGCAATAGATGATATATAGTACTATAGATCAATAATTAACTTTGGTGAGGTAAAACCAGAACATATATTCCACTGATAAAATGGGAACTTATTACACAATACAACTTAGAGGAAATGATATTATTCTCAATAATTCAAGACTAGTACATTCATAAAAGTAACACATTATAGTTTAGAAATATTTGCTTATAAAAGCACTGATTTTCCACCACATTTCCTCAAGAAATTGATAATACATGCATCGCCATCTCCTGCTAATTACCAAAGGGCTTAGTACACTCCAAAATCCCACAATAAATCCAAGTGTCATGCTCACAAAAAACCAATTTATTTCAACTCCATTCCTATGTTTTCTGCCTCTGGTTTCGATGCTGGGTCCACAATTTCCATTAATACAACTGCAATTATCTGCTAATGGAAGACCACAAAGCTGTTTGTTTCCAGCAAAGTTAGATGGATTGAAACCCTGTAACTGAGTACCTAAAGGAATTCTACCCACCAATTGGTTATTGGACAAGTTTAGGTAACTTAGAAAAGTCAAGTTTGACATACTTTCTGGAATTGAACCAGACAGATTGTTCCCAGAGAAATCAACCGATTCTAACATTCTCATGTTGCCGATCTCCTTTGGAATCCTTCCAATGAAAAAATTGTGTGATAAATTCAAAGATTGCAACCCTTGAAGATTAGTTACTTCTGAAGGGATCTCCCCTGATAAATTATTTCCAGAGAAATCCATGATTTTCACCAAGTAAAGGGTCTTGTCATATTCAAGCCACTGACCTTTTATTGAAACAAATGTAGCATCTTGATAAGAAAATTCCGAGTGAAAATAACCGTCTGAAGAACCATAGCCGCTAAAGAATTCGTGAGAATGGCTGTTCGTTGAAAGCAAGACACTTATGTTACCAATACACCTTGGCAAGCTTCCAGAGAGATTGTTTTGAGCAAGGCTTAGTATTTGGAGAGAATTGAGCAAACACAAGTCATTTGGGATATGTCCTGAAAATTTGTTTGAACCAAGGTCCAAGATTTTCAAGTTTGAAAGGCTATGACCCATCCATGGTGGGATGCTCCCATCCAATTCATTTTCACGAAGCTGAAGAATCTCTAAATTCGTACAATTACTTAAAGACAATGGTATTTCTCCTGTAAGGTAATTTTCCTGAAGATGCAACGATGACAAGGCACCTAAAGCTCCGATCGACCTTGGAATTCCACCTGTTAACTGATTGTCCGCTAATACAATTGCGTTCAAATATTGCCAGTTGGTCCAACAATCTGGTAACTCTCCAAATAAAAAATTTTTTCCTAAATTGAGAATGTTCATCGTCATGAATTCATTCATCTCACCACACAAAAAGTGAAAAAGGGAACCTGATAGATTATTATTGGACATGTCTAAGGAAACCACATTGGAGGAGATGCGGGCTAATGGACCGGTGAAATTATTTGAGTTAAAGTCAATAACAGTACCGAAGAAGGTAGGAGAACTATTTAACACATTTGGAAGCTGCCCATGGATTTGGTTGTGAGAAATATTTACGTATACACATTGAGATGACACTCCCCAAAACCAACTAGGAACCATATCTGAAATTCTTGTGTTAGAAATATCTAAATATCTTAGATATTTTTGAGAATGAAGCCATTGTGGAAATTGCAGACCTAAATGCCAAGATGCTAACCTCAATTCAAAAATTTGAAAATGAGGAACCCAATTAGGATTGACTCTCAAAATCATCAACGAGTTTCCATCAGCAATGAAGGTGTTTAATTTCGTGAGGCTAACAAAGTGAATTTCTGAAACAATACCCTCAAAAGAATTCTGTGAAATGTCAACATATTTCAAATTAGAAAGCTGACCAAATGACTTGGGAAGACTTCCCTCAAAAGAATTAAGTGAAATATCAATATCTTCCAAATTAGCAAGTTGACCAAATGACTTAGGAAGACTTCCATTTAATTTGTTACTACTAAGATATAAAACTTTTAAGCATTGAAGCTCACCTATGGACATCGGAATAGGACCGGAAATTGAGTTACTTGACAAATCCAATTCTTTCATAATTTTAAAATTCCCAAGTCGACTGGTTAGTTGCCCAGAGAGTTGACAACTTTCTAAGTGCAATGATTCCAATGAATTAGAAACGCATCCAGAAAAGATTTCTAAAATATGAGATGTTTGTAGAGTCAAATTGACATCAGTGAAACTCAAGAATCTCAAGTTGCAAAGTTTTCCTATTGACCTGATAGGAATTTCACCTTCAAAATTATTGTAGGAGAGGTCAAGGAACTCAAGATGGCTAAAGTTGTCCAACCAATTAGGTACTAAAGAATTGAAAGAGTTGTATGACAAATCCAAGTGCCTTAAAACGGTCAAGTTTTGAAGATAATAAGGGATCGAATGTGCAAAATTGGTCCATGATAAATCAAGAAAAATTAGCTTCCTAAGACCAAAGACCCAATTGATATTTGAAAAGTTAACAAGACCAGGATTATGAGAAAGATCAAGGACATCAAGAGATGATAAATTTATATTTGTAATGGGATGGACTTCATCATGGGGCCCTAGATTACAACTAGACAAGTGTAATTCTACCAAGGAAGGAAGGGCACTTATCATATGAGGCCAATTAGAGACCTTGACAAGGTTCACCCAACTCATATCAAGGAACTCCAAGGAGGAAAGACTAGACAGCCAACGAAAATCCTCAACCTGTAAGTAATTATTTCCATTAAGGTCGAGATGTTTCAGATTGGAGAGATTCCCAATATGATGAGGTACTTCCCCTACAAATCCTGAATTGGAGAGGTTAAGGAGTCTTAAACTCCTCAAAGAACCAATGAAGTTTGGAATTTGAATTCCAAAACCATTATCGCTGAGGTCCAAATAACGTAAATGCTTCAAATGACGCAGGGAAGGACTTATCTTACCACCCAGCTGAAGAAATCCCCCATTAGCCTCATATTGAATTCGAGCAAGATCATAGTCTAAGGGAGGAGTCCTGAGATGGAGTTCCAGAATATGGCTGGTCACATTATCACAGACAACTCTCTTCCACCTGCAGCAATCTTCATCATCAGCAACCCAAGAAGCGAGAAGGTGTGCAGGATCAACCATATCCTGCTTCAACTTCAAGAGGGCTTGCCTCTCCCTCTCTATGCAGCCTCCATTGCAAAATCCAGCATTCAAAGCAGCCAGACAGAAAAATCCAATGAGGAGAGCAGGAAGACCCATTGGAATTTTCGATAGCGAAGGAAATATTTATGATGAAAAACCCAACGCGGGCACTTTAGTATTTATACTACATGTTTCTCAGCGTCGCATTACTCTGCTATTTCCATAACCCACTGGATACAACTTCCATCAGTTTTCCCGATAGCTCGGATGATGGGACCCCAAAACATGCTTTTTCCACACCCCATTTCAAC